TCAGCACTGTGAGGCCGTCTGGCCCTGGAGCCTGTCCCATCCCTACCATCCTGCCACATTTGTGCCCAGGTGTCCTTCCCCAACCCTCTGCCCTGTCCCCATGGCCCGACCCCATCCTTTGCCCCACGTTCATGCTCTGACCCCGCTGACCTGATGGTCCAGGGGAGTCCACACTGTCCTGCTCCCTCCCGTCCCCACCGCTGCACGATGTCTGATCCATCCCTGCAGACATGGTCGGCTTGGCAGCTCCTGGGGCCGTCTCTCACTTCAGGGGCAAGCCAGGGGTGGTGAGGAGGGCCGGGCTTCTCTGTCCCTTGGCTGTCCCCCGAGCTCAGTGCCACCGCTGAGGCAGGATGCATGCGGCAGCCAGGCAGCCCAGCTGGAGCCATTCCCCAGGTGTGGGGCTGAGCCTGCCAGGTTGGGGCAAACCCTGTGTGCGTCTCGCTCCCCTTGTAGAGGTGACCCTGGGGCTGCGGAGCACCCCCATCCGCATCACCACCATCCCCAGCAGCGGCAGCGGTGTCTGCAGCATCAGCAGTGTCAGCAGCAATGTCACCAAGGTGAGTGCCCAGAGGGGTGGGGTGCTGTGGGGCTGTGCCCCACGTGGGCATGGCCTGGGGGTTCTGGGCTTGGGGTGGGGAGCAGTGACCAGGGCAGGTGGGTTGGTGCTGGCAAGCTCTGGCTGGTTTAGGGTTTGGGTTTTTTCCTCACAAAGAGACCTTGGGGTCTGCTTGTGGACCCACAGCCCCAGCCCTGTGAGCCCCCTGGTCCCTGGACTGTGCCCCCATGTATGGAGATGCTCAGGGGGGTAGGAGGGGAGGTGTGTCTTCCTCTGTTTTAAATGCCTGCTAGGGTGGCAGCGGCTCAGGGAAAAACCCATTGCCACCCACCCCTCTGTTTTCCCTCCTGGGAATGGACCTCGGCCATGGAGCTGGGGAGCCTGCCTGGGGGGGGGTGCTCTCCAAGGGTCTCTGACCCACCCTGGAGCCATGGGTTGGGGTCTGGCCTCCTCCTGCTTTGCAATCCCGAGCTGACAGCGGAGCGGCAGCCCCAGCCTGCTTGGCCCAGGAGGGATTCTTGGGTGCAACTGGAAAAAAGAAAAATCCCTCTGATCTGTTTTGGGGGAGTGAGTGGGATGCAGCCCCCTAAGGTGCTGGGGGCGGCAGGACTGGTTGCACACAGGAGGCAGCTCTGCGCGCGCAGCCCTTCGAGTGCTTTTATCTCCTCCTGGCCATCTAGGGTAATGCGAAGCACTCGCGCACGCGGCCTTGGCAGGGGCCAGGATGTCAAGTGCAGCACTGCCTCGCTCATGCCGTGCGCTCGCCCGGCTGCCTTGGTGGCCATGGTACTGCCAGTGGCCGTGGCACCACTGGCTCACTCCATCCTCGGCTCAGCCCTCACCAGCATGAAGCAGGCAGTGCCTGCAGCCTGGCAGGGCTGCCCTCGGGTGCTGCCTGCACCAGCTAGCAGGTCCAGGTACTGCTGCCCACGGGCAGCTCACTGCCTGCAGAGGGGTGCCTTCGCCACGCTAATGCGCTTGGGCAGGCTTGGCCCGAGACGCCCGTCAGCTCTCATTAAGGTATTAGCGGCGCTGCCTGCCAGGGTGGGGGGCTCGGGGCCCATTGGCTGCCCGAGAGGAGACGTGGCCCCCAGGTGTGCTCCAGGTGGCGAGGAGGAGGAGGCAGCAGCGGTGCTGGCAGCCCTGCCAGGGAGGGCTTGGCTGGGGGGACTGGTGGGGTGCAGGGATCTGGGGACAGTGGCCACTGGCAGTGCGTCGTCTCACTGGTGGGGTGTTGCCTGCGCCCACTGTGTAGGGACCTGCTCCCCCTGTGGTATTGTCAGGCAGCATGGGCGGACGGGGGCCCCCAAAAATCACAGCTGATGGCCGAGGCCCTTGCCCCAGTACCAGCCTGGGGCTGGAGGTGCCGGTGTGTTGTAGGTGACACCAGCCAGGAGCAGGAGGGCGCTGGGGCGAGGGCGTGTGGGTGGTCCCCAGCCCTGGAGCGTACCCGGCAGGGTGGTGGTATGAGGCTGACCCTGCATGGGGGCTCAGCTCCACTTGCTGTGCCCCACAGCCCCCCCAGGCTGGCGTCAAGGGCACTTGCTGCCTGGGGCGGGGGGGCCGCTCGGCAGGGCTCCCCCCTTGCCGAGCCACCTGGTCCTGGGGCTGGAAACGCTGCCAAGTGTGAGCGCCTGGCTCGGCACCCCTGTGCAGGACCCCCAGCCGCTGCGACAAGAATAGCCTAGCGGGCGCGAGCCGTGCCGGCCGGCCTCCAGCTGGGGGTGGTGCCCCCGGCGCCCCTATAAAGGGCGGAGGACAGCTGAGCGGGGCTCACCGCAGCGCCTGCCGGCACCAGCACTGCCACCATGCCGGGGGTCAGCCTGGAGGGGCTGGCGCAGGCCGGGGCGGCTGAGCTGGCGGAGCTGCGGCAGGAGCTAGGGGCTTTCCGGGGTGCCGTGGAGGGGCAGCTGGAGCAGGCGCTGCAGCGGGGGCAGCCGCTGGCGCGGGGACTGCAGGCACTGGAGGAGGTGCACCGGGAGCTGCGGGCAGAGCTGGCGCGCCTGGGCCGCCGCCTCGACCTGCTGGTGCTGCAGCTGGGGCCGCCGGGGGCCCCCGTGGAGGACCTCAGCACCCTCCTTCTGGAAGCACAGGACCCTTGCGCCCATTTTGAGGGTACCGAGGAGCCCAGTGGCCCTGTGGCCCATCCGCCTGCTTTCTCCAGCACGCGCCAGCAATCGGTCCTGCACCTCTCCCGGAGCAACAGCGGCGTGAGTGCGGGCAGCCCTGCCCCACGGCAGCACCCGGCGGGGGGGGGGGGAGGGGGCAGATGGCGCCTGCCTGCTCCACATTGCCGGCGTGCCAGCGGGGTGGGCAAGCTGCAGGCAGCTGTCCTGCCCCCACCCGCGCACAGCAGTGGTGCAGGTGGTGGTACAGGCGCACGTGGCCGGCATCACCTCCCGCCGGCAGCTTTGCCGTGGGCCGGGCGCCAGGCAGGGGCATTGGGACACAGGATGGAGCCAGGTGTACGGTGGGGCTGTTCCAGCCCCGCACCAGCGCCCAGCACCTCCCTGCCGCTGCCTCCCTGCCCTATTCTGGGCCTGGCCCGCTGCCTGCTGCGCATTGCTGGGGGGTCGTGCTGAAAAGGACTTGGCGTCCTAGCTTTGCTCCGGCGGGGGCCGAGCTGGCCTAGATCCTGAGCAGGGATGTGGGGGAGGCTCTTGATCTCCTGCACAAGCTCTTCTCTCTGCTAAGTCCCTTAATTCCCTGGAAATCCTTTGTGCTGCTAATGGTGTGCACTGGCCTTGCCAGCACCCTGCCTGCTGCCGGGCGCCGGGCAGCCCCTGCCTGTGGGAGGGCCCTGGCAGCCTCCGGGGGTGGGGAACATTTGGGGGCGTTTTGGCAGCCAGACTGGGAGCAGGTCAGAGACTGACAGGCCCTCCCAGGGCAAGGGGTGCCATGGGGGGGATGTCGCGCTCCCCTGCCTGCTTCAGTCACCGCCAATACCTGTGGCGTCCCACTGGCTGTGGCATGTCTTCTCCAGGCCCTCACTGCCCCTGGCACTGGGCAAGTGTCAGGGTAATGGGGGGCTTGGACCCTAAGCAGCATGGAGGCGGGGGGGTGGCTGAGCTGGCGGGGGCTCAGTCGCACAGTGCTGTCTTTGTAGATGGAGCCAGAGGTGGTGGAGAAGCCCCAGGCGCTGAGGCTGGAGCCAGAGCTGCCCAATGGCATGGAGAAGGTCCAAGTGAGGGAGCTGGAGAGAAAGAGCAAGCTGAACGTCGAGGAGCTGAACAGGATTGAGGATGAGGATGTCCTGGATAAGATGGTACCTCCTCTGCTGCTGGGCTCCTGGGGGAAGGCAAGGGGCCACCGAGCTGCTGGCAGAGGGGTGATGCTGACCTCTACCCACTCTTGCAGCTGGATCGGACGACAGACTTTGAGGAGCGACGACTGATACGAAACGCTATGCGGGAGCTGCGCCAGCGCAAGCGAGGTACTTGGGGATGGTGACCCCTGCAGGGGTTGGGGCCCTGGTGGTGGCGTTGCTGGTAGAGCCTGGGCTGTCCAGCTGTGCTGAAGCAGGTGGGAGCATCAGTTCCTCTGCTGCACCCCTGGCTGTGCCAGCCTGAGGACATCTTCCTTCCCACCAGCTGGGTCTGGACCAGCAGCAGCCAGCAGGGCCCCCGGCGAGAGGGGGACCATGCCCGCTGGCCCTGCCTCTTGCAGCTTACGCTGCCTCTCGCCTGCATTTCCAGACCAGCGGGAGAAGGAGCGGGACCAGCGGCTGCAGGAGGCAAGGAGCCAGGCTACAGCAGGGAGGGCTGGCCACACCACAGAGACCACCACCACGCAGAGCACCCAGTCAGCCGACGGCTCGGCACGCAGCACCGTCACCAAGACCGAGCGTCTCGTCCAGTCTAGTACGGGCTGGGCTGGGGAGGCACAGGGCTTGCTTGCCCAGCATAGCCAGTGTGCCGGCCCTTCGGGGGGCCGTGCGGAGGCTTTCCTGGTGCTCTGCTGCTGCAGTTTCTCTCTGCCACTCTTGTTGCTTGTCCTGAGTCTGGCTTGACTGCGCTGGGAGCAGGACCATGGTTCGGGGCTGAGTTTTGGTGCATCTCTGGCTCGCCCAGAGCCTCTCTGGGCACCTTTAAGGGATCGTCTCTGGCAACTTCCCACCCGATCCTCTGCCCTGTCAGGGTGGCAAGGGCCTTGGTGTTGGACGTTGGGCCTGTCTCCTGTCCACTACCCTTTGCTCTCCCAGTCCCTGGGTGGCTCAAGCCGAGTGTCACTGCAGGGGGCTGAGGGATGCTCTGGCCTCTTTGCTCTGCCTGGGGGACACGCACGGTCTGTCCCCTGTCTGCCTGTCCTGGCCATGGCTCTGCCACCTGGGACTTCTCCCTGCTGCGCTACGTGGATGTGAGGGTGCATGGCAGCAGTGGGTGCCTGTGGGTGCTGCTGGCCCCGGTGCTAGCTGATCCCCCGGTGCCAGCTGATCCCCTGTTGCCTTGTCCCCTGCAGATGATGGCACCAAGACCTCCCGTACAACACCCACGGAGCCGAGGGATG